TTGAAGTCCACAAGTCATAAAAGGGTCATAGTTCCCTCACTCTGGCTGAGGAATTCTGGAAGTTGAAGTCCACAAGTCATGAAGGGGCCTTAGTTCCCCCATGCTGGCTGAGGAATTCTGGGAGTTGAAGTCCACAAGTCATAAAAGGGTCATAGTTCCCTCACTCTGGCTGAGGAATTCTGGGAGTTGAAGTCCACAACTCATCAAAGGGCCAAGTCTGAAGACCCCTGAAGTAGATCAAAAGACAGCTATTTTGAATCTCAAAGGGTTTCCTTCTGATTGATTGCCTGTGCATTTTGGATCTGAGAATGACACGTGGATTGCCCGCCGTGGGCTTTGGGGAGGTGAGAGGTCAGTCCCCTCAAAAGGGCTGGAAGATTTTGTCTTGTGGTGGGTCTCTTAAACCAGTGACGGAGGATGGATCCGGAGAAGGTCGACGGAATAACTGTCCTTTTCTTAGGAATTATGCATCGCACTTTCCAGCACAAGAACGCAGAACTGTTAACGGAAAAACAGAAAATAATCTGTTTCTCCTCGGGCGGGCTGGGATGGCTTGTGGCAAGCAGCAGAACCGGTCTCTTGCCCTTTTCCTCCCACGGGTCAGCAGAAGAAGGCAGAAGAGTTTCATAACTCTTTTCCCTGAACATACCTGCCGATCTTTAGAGGAGCGTTCCCCCCTTTGCTGCAGAATCGCTGGCAGGCTTCAAGGCACACACAGGATTCTTCTCTCCTTTTTTCCCTGCCGCTCTGTGGGAAGAGGGAGAAAGCATCAATTATTAATTAATGGGATTGATGAATACATTAATTGTATCGTGCAGGCTGTCAACAATTAGCTTCTTCTTTTCTTTTTTCTTTTTTTTTTAAATGTCTGGGAGGGGATCTTGGCGTCTGCTGAGTTAACAGGCTCGCTGCAGGAAAACACCCATCTGGTCCTCCTGTATTTTTGATGAGATGGGAAAGGAGAAGAATTAGGTCTCGTCTCTCTCTCTCTCTCTGTTGATTGGAGCAAGGGCCAGGAGAAATTTCAGCTTTTGACTACCTTGTTGTTAGTTGCGAAGTCGTGTCCGACCCATGGCGACCCCATGGACAACGTTCCTCCAGGCCTTCCTGTCCTCCGCCATCTTCTGGAGTCCATTGAAGCTCACGCCTGCTGCTTCAGTGACTCCATCCAGCCACCTCGTTCTCTGTCGTCCCCTTCTTCTCTTGCCCTCCATCTTTCCCAGCATTAGGCTCTTCTCCAGGGAGTCCTTCCTTCTCATTAGGTGGCCAAAGGACTTGAGTTTCAACTTCAGGATCTGGCCTTCTAAAGAGCAGTTGGGGTTGATCTCCTCTAGGGCTGACCAGTTGGATCGCCTTGCAGTCCAGGGGACTCGCGGGAGTCTTCTCCAGTTGATTACCTTATCTGGTGGGTTTTCTTGACCAGGGTTGGGTTAAAAACGGGTCCTATTGCAAGGTGACATTTGCCCGAAGCTGGTAGCATGATCCGTTGGATTGGTTTAAGACGGCATTTTTCAAAACCGGCCAACGTTAAGGTGGGTGGGCTTCAAGTCCCAGAATTCCCCAGCCAGCTGAGTTGCAAAGTTTGAGAAAGAGGTATTTAAGGCTTTTGAACTAGGTGTAGGTTTTTTTTTTCCATGCCACTGAAGGATGGAGTTAGAAGCATCAAGAATTTGGGATTGGTCTGAGTATCTTATTCATTAATACAAATTAAATTCCTAATCCCTAAATCTTTTCTCTAACCATTGATAAAATAGGTCCCAAGTTTGAAAATATTCTGTTTCTTCTTTATATAATCAATAAGACTTTATTAAACAAAAAAAGAATTTGGGATTTAATGGGAAGGAATCCCCATGATGATGATGATGATGATGATGATGATGATGATGATGATGATGATGATGATGATGATAGGTACCTTGGAGGTCATCAAGTCCAACCCCCTGCTCAGGCAGGAAACCCTACACCATTTCGGACAAATGGCTGTCCAGTCTCTTCTTAAAAACTTCCAGTGTTGGAGCATTCACCGCTTCTGGAGGCAGGTTGTTCCACTGGTTAATTGTTCTCACTGTCAGGAAGTTTCTCCTTAGTTCTAGGTTGCTTCTCTCCTTGATTAGTTTCCATCTGTTTGCTGGTTTTGTATAGATGTATAGATGTCTCTAAGCCATTCTATATTCTCCTAACGGGCAAGGTCAAAATAGCCACGATGGTAGTTACATAAATTTCTAACCTTTTTTTATTGCATTGCATGTGTGATACCTAGAAAAATGAGATGGTGCTTCTGTTATATGAGTGCCAACCTCCTTGGGTGTCTCTTGTCTGCCTCTCAATTGCCCACACAGCCTGCTTTCTTCCTAAAGAGAAGGAAAAATGGAAAACTTCCTAAATTGTGGGGAAAAAATTGAAAACGTCCTTGACAAAATTGAATTTTGCCCTTGCAGAGTTAATTTTAAAACTCACCTCTTGGTTCATCCTTGCCATCTTTTCTTCTGGAAACTTTGGCCTTGCACCTAGCTGTTATGGTTTATTTGTAGACCAGTGTCCCTAGCTTAGGCAGTTGCGTGAATTCAACGAGAGTGGCTTTCCCTAAACCAGGGGTAGGCAACCTTGGCTCTTTTATGACTCGTGGACTTCAACTCCCAGAATTCCTGAGCCAGCCATGCTGAGGGGAAAGGGAGAGGTTTCCATGCTGAGCCATGCTGGCTCAGGAATTCTGGGAGTTGAAGTCCACGAGTCATAAAAGAGCCAAGGTTGCCTACCCCTGCCCTAAACCAAGGTTAAAGCGAACCATGGGTTGCTGCAAAAGTGTCTTACACAGACATGAGTTACCAGGAGGTTAGTGGCGTCTGGAGTTCACAACGCTTTTTATGGCTGAGAAAAGGTTTTGTAGATTTTATGCTGTGGGGATGCTGATGGTTTCAATCAGAAAAGACCTGGAAGGAACCCTGGAGGTCTTCTAGTCCAACCCCCTGCTCAGGCAGGAGATCCTACACCATTTCAGACAGTGTTGGAAGCACCCACAACTTCTGAAGGGAAGCTGTTCCACTGGGTAATTGTCCTCCCTGTTAGGAAGTTTCTCCTTAATTCCAAAATTGCTTCTCTCCTTGACTAGTTTCCATCCGTCGTTTCTCGTCCTGCCTTCAGGCACTTTGGAGAACAGCTTGACTCCCTCTTCTTTGGGGCAGCCCCTGAGATGTTGGAACCTTTCTATCATGTCACCCCTCATCCTTCTCTTCGTTAAACTAGAGTAGACATACCCAATTCCTGCAAGCGTTCTTCTAGACCTTTTTCTACCTTCCTTTGCCTACAAAAACCATAACATTGGCAGATGTACTATTGGACTGGGGTCTCTTGGCAACTTTGCTGATAGGATCTGAGTTGTCCCTATCAGTTTCCAAACAAGGACCGTAGGAGAACATAAAATACTTGACATCTTGATAAAATGCGCATGCCCGAAAAAGATGGCGGACGGTCCGTAGCTCCGCTGTGGTGGAGCTGAAGATGGGTAGGGGGGGGNAAAACAAAGAATGAACTTTGCTTGGTGTTGCTGTACAGTGACACTTTGGCAGATCAGACTGCCTAGCGTGGCCCTGTCATCTCCCTTCCGTCTGTTTCCTGGCTAATGCAGCTTTTAACTACAAATTAAAATGGCGTGCCACCCAAAAGGGACTGACTGCCCTTTAGGATCAGCTGGCTGAAAGAGTCAGGGAGACAACATTGAGGGAAATATGCAAAAACCAACACTGAGGCCAAGGGTGGTGGTGGTGAAACTGTTTTTAAGCCCTGAGAAACAAGATCATGTTTGCAAGTGGATCAGGCAGAGGCTGACGAGGGGCAGCACAATCAGTCCTGCCTGATTTGGTCCCTGGAGCCACTCTCAGCGAGGGCTGTGCGGGTCTTTCTGGGGCTACTAGATGTGCAGTTGGCAGCCTCTGTGACACGCAGGACGGAGAACATGGTAGACTCTCCACCGTGTGTACTGCATGTACTCTATATGCATGTGGGAGAATACTGCATGTATCCGTGCTTCAAAAAAGATTCTGGAGAAATGTCAGATGGTCACACTCAGAGAAGCCTGGAAGTTTAGTGACAGTGCTGCAATTTGGGGAGAATAACAGAAGAAAACTATTCTCTCTGCTGTGACTTTGTGCCCCAGACCCTTTTGCAAAGCTCTGCCTCTCCCACAACTGGGCTCTTGGGCTGTTCACAGGCTGCAAGGGCCTGGCTTGATTCTGCCTAAAGAGCAGCCTCAGGGCTTTCCCACCCAGCACAAGCTTGCCCTGCGATGGTGGCGGTGATGTTGGAGAGCCTTTCGGGCCCAGCAGTGCCTGAACAGCAGCCCCAGAACAGCTCCAGAGGCAGCCCCGTTTTTGCTCTGTCCGCTGAAGGAACGACAGACACGCTGCAGAACAGCCTCTCCAGACAAAGCAGAGCTCTGGCGGGAAGTGGTGGCATTCCTACTCATGAGGAGACTGTGCGCTCCCCCCCCACACACACCATGTGGGTTAGCAGCTCCTTCTTCCCAAAGAAACTGCTGGGCAATTCAGAGGTAGCCAATGGGGGGAGGGGGGGGCTTCCTTTCAGTGCAGAGCCAGGGGCTGTTTCTAGCCAGAAGCTCCCCCAGCAACTGGCAGGACCCAGCAGGAAAGGCCACCTTTTCTGCCAGCCTCCTGGGTGCTCGTCCAGCTGGGAGCACAGCGGGGGGGGGGTCTTACCTGTTGGAGGGATTTCTTCCCTGAGTTATAATGGCAAAAAAACCTCCAAAATTATTTGGGCTCTTGACATGTGATTTGACAGGATTCAGGAGCAGCACTAAGTCAGTCGGTTACTTGTGCAAATTTAGAAACATAAAGGAAAGGCCGGCTTGCTCCATTTGCTTCTTGGACATCATCAGTACAGGTCCTTGACCTACAGCCCTTCATTTAGTGACCGTTTGAAGTTGCAACAGTTTGAAATTTTGGGCCCAGTTGTGGTCGTAGGACGGCGGCGGCGGTGGTCCTTGCCGGCTTCAGCGGCGGTGGCCTTGGCGGCGGCCTCGGCAGCTTTGGCAGCGGTGGCGGCGGCTTCGGCGGCGGCCTCGCTGGTGACCTTGGGTGCCTCGCTGGTGGCCCCGACGACCCGCGGGTGGTCCTTCCAGCGACCGGCGGTCTCTTTAACAGCCGGTGGTTTTCCCTTGGCCGCGGAGACATCTTTGGACGACCATGGCGGCCTTCCTGCGGCCCTCCCGGACCTGGGGGCCTTCTGGTGGCCTTGGCGGCCTTTGAGAACTGGACCAACGGCCCCGATGGCCCTCCCAGTGGCCTCTTGGCAATCCATTCTAGCCGCGGTGGCCTTCGGGCTGCTCTTCTAGC